TTCTGTAATGGTTGAAAGTACGTTTTGATAACTAACATCATTTTATTACTACGTTTAGCAAAAACAAGTTTAAGTGTTTCTGAGTTATAGTAGCGCTTTCAAATAAACACTTGCATGGTTAATTTGGAAGTTCTTTTAAAATGATTTAAAATACTTTTGGTAAAATAGATTTTAGAATAAGCATCAGATATGTGTTTTTTTTTTTTTTTTCAACACTTAAAGTGCTTTTTAAAAGAAGCACCAGATATGTGCTTTTTGCAAAAAAAACACTTGACTGTTTTTCCAGGATCACTTGAATTTTTACTACGAAGCGATTTTAAATATATTTTTAATAAAAACGCTTTCAGTTATTTTAAAAATAGTTTTCAACTAAATATATTTTTATGTAAGGCATTAAAAAATATATTTACTTCACTTCCCTGGCCCAGCCCATGTTTCTTGGCAAAGTAGCAATTGCTTCACGATGCAAAAGCAAATATGATATGTCCATCAAAGGTTGGAATCTAGTTCCTATTGCTACTTGGGCTATCGTTGCTGCTGACAATGCCAGGTGCCCATCAATCGAACAATAACAAAAATGTTGCCCACTCTCGTTAAAAATGATTGGGGAAAGGGAGAGCGCGCGCATAGTCACACAATCATTTCGGTTGAATAGGAGGGTAGTTGTGGTAGCTGACAATCGCTTAGAGATGTTAAAAACGGTTGACGTTCACTCAAGCACATAAACGATGGCAGTATAACTCTGGGATCGGGAATTGAAGTTTCATTTGCATGTCGTGTGCTTATTTCTTGTTCAGTAAGGAGAAAGATTGTTCTCTATGAAATTCAGCTCATGATCTCCTCCAACAAAGTAAAGTTTAAATACCACTAAATAATTATCGGTTAGAGGTAAGCAATGCGGCCGGAAAACATTACCACTGGGCAACTTCTAGTTCAATAAAGCGCCCGCAAAGATTTCACTAGCCACATTGTTTGCGAAAGTCGGATGCAGTCTTCAACATGAACAAAGCTCTAACTCAATCCAATCAATACTCGAAAATTCTCGTAAATTTGTATTCGAAATAAGGCCTAGAGAGGAGAATACCGAGAGTCGAACAGTGGTACAAACCCCACAAAATTTCCACTTTTGTACCAAATACATACGCGAAAACAAAACCTTCTTACCAAGGTTTAGGAATAAATATCTGGAGAAAGAACTAGTTCATTCACATTCCCACTCATGGTAGAGTTCTTACAGTTAATATATATCCCAAATAAAACTAGGAACCTTTACAATTAAACGGTTACATATATAAATTAAAAACAACAAAAAAGCACACCAATACCTTATTCCTTGTATCCAATTGATAGAACCTTCACAGATCTGTTATTCGATATAATATTAACTTTCCCTGCTTCCTGCTTCCACAGGTAGTCATGTACTTCCACCAGTGTAACTGCAAGCATTATAACCTGCAATCAATTCACATACTTAATTAGCAAGAGTTCCGAAACAAATCAAGCAAACATTTTTTCACAGGTAGTCATGCTGGTTTTGGAGATGTTCCATTTTTTCACCGATATAAAATGCGTGAAAAGAAAAATGTCACAATTAGTAGTGCAATCATTCACAAAAGGAGTTGGATTATAAAGAGAATCGTTATCACCACAAAAGTCAAAAGATTATACACTTTTACGTTTCTAATTGGTCACTTTATGAATTATTATCCCCCTTTTATGTTAAGTGTGTCCTCATCATGGAAAACATGGGCCATTTCGATATGTGCTCGTGTTAAAGAAAACTTACTGGGATTTGAGGATGTGAGCATCGCTGTTTGTGAGAAATCGCAATTCAGAGGAATTGTGCCAACAGTATGATAATACAGATTCATGGCATAGGCAGCGTGCGATGCAACAGTGTTTGGGTCGAAACAGGAGCCTCCTGGTTGGATTGCGCTGCAATCAATACCATGGCCACAAGCATAGTCAAGATTTGCCTGCAATTGAGCATCAGAAACGCCGGATTTGGGCACACACCACTGTGCTGAAGTAGGCTTGGGTGAAGGAGACACCATTGGTGTTGATGGAGTCTGAAGGATAGAAATCCAAGGGTTATAACTAATCATGCGTATTATAAAGCATAGGATATTAGGCATTATAAGGTCCGGCCAGATACAGGACATGTTATGTTCTCATATGTATTGAACGGTCCATATAACAAATTATCTAAATTTGCAGTCAACAATATAACACATAAAAGTGATGAGGTAAGAGAACATTTTGCTAGAAGGTTTTAAATATGTCACCTGGCTACTCTTTGTGAGACCAACTTCATATGTCGCAGTTAGATCAGGCTTGAACAGACCAAAGGATCGCTCGGAGGTTGGACCAGGTTTCAAATCCTCATCGTAGAGTGCGAAGATATAAGTCTCCACAGATTTTCCAGGCATCAACGGAGTCCCAACCATGGATCTAAGGTGTGCAATCAAATTGCCATTAAACGCCCTTGCATTCTCCACACTAGTTCCAACTTCGTTGCTATCTCCATGGTATGGCCATCCAGTCTCAGCGATCAAAATGTCAATGTCCTTGAATCCAACTGCATTCAAGGCTGACCGCACGGCATCAACCTAAAGATGGTAAAACTTCATCATTTATATTACTACATCAATCAATGACTTCACAAGCATAATGGTTAAATCATTGGAACTCTCTAATTAGTTAGCTTGTCATTAAAATTGTCATTGCAAGAAAAGAAAACAATGCGCATAGTTCAAACAAGTTATGCATTTACTAAGCTACAGAGAAAAAAAAACTCGTTCGATTAATGATAACAAAAGGAAAATACTTCAAAACTCAATTTCATTTTCCAATTTTCTTTCCAATTCTTTCACATGGGTAGGACCTATGATATTGCGATACAATGGTAAAAGATTGGGGTCTTACAGCATCATCTGACCGCAAAAGATTCGAATGCTATCTCAAGGATTTGCGGGGGAAAAAACCCATTGCTACTAAAGTTTCACTAACATTTTCTCCTATAGTAAGAAATAGGAGGTTTATGCTTTTATATGGTGGTCCCAAATTAAATTTTGATTCTATGAAACAACAAAATTTGTCTAGGTTTTTTTCAAGGGAAATTTGAAATAGGTCTAATTTTATAGACTACCTTTTGAAATAGGTCCAATTTTTAGTGACTTTTGACTTTTGAAATAGGTCCAATTTTTAGTTACTTTGGACCCATTTCAAAAAACCCCTTTTTTCAAATACGTTGTACTAAATCCAAAGCCAATAGAAATCATGGCCTCATCTAAAATTATTGCGATGGGACACTAGCCAGCCTGTCACATTGTCACCATGCATCAATTGCACATAGAAGGTAATTTCAATGATCCCATCATTTCCTTGATAAAGCAACGGACAATAATACAAGAGTAATATGGATGATGGTAATTAAATGATTGTTGAAATTGGGGTTTCCAAAAACCCTCATTTCCTACACCTAAATCTTATTATCCATGCTTTTTATTAAGCTAAGAGCATTTCCAAATGAGATGTCAAAATATTCAAATCAGCACTAATATTAAAAAAAGGCAACAACAATGTATTCAAATCAAAAAGCCAAATTTGATGTGACATAACATGGATTGACAGCCCACATCCCTGCTACCAAAATTGATAGCAACTTCAATTTTTTTTTATTTGATTATAAAATGCATTTTATTGTTTTAAAACATTTAGTATAATAGCTTAATGTAATAAAATAATAATTTAATTTGACATATTGGATAGAAAACCAAAAAAAGGCCAAAGTGCAACATAGGTTGCCAAATTTAAATTTTATGTTTATAATTAGACATCTCGTAGATGTTCAAGTAAAAGACCTAAAAGTTAAAGATATAGTAATATTATATTAATTGCTTTATTCTACATTTTCTTTCATCTTTTTTTTCAACTAATCCTCACACCCCACGTTGTCTAATTTTCTCTAATCTACTTTTGACTCTAACCACATGCAGGGTGCATATTTGCCTTAAGTGTTTGGTTGGAAGTGCATTTAGAAATGGCTACAACAACCGACATCTTTTAGATAACAAAAAACTCATCTAAATAATAAAAGTACTTTTAAAACTATCCGTGCTTTCCATAGAAGCACCTATATGAAACCCTTCTATTGATTTTAGCTTCTAACAAAAGTGCTTATGTGCATGAGTGCTTCTAAAACAAACCGCAAAGCGAACGCCAATTACCAAAAAAACCATTAGTTCTAAACTCTTACGTCAATGTCGTGGACTCATGATTTAAGGACTAACGTGTGAGTCGTCGTATAACGCAAATCGTAGTCCGTTGACGGTTGACCCACAGTTCAAATGTTCAACTGGGCCTAGATCCACTTAATAAAAAGCCCAAATCCGGCCCACTATAGTGTAAAACACGCTCACCTGAGCATCGAACATGTTCATGTACGTGACTCCGCTCCCCGAGTCGACTCGTCCCGCGTTGGGTTGGAATAAGCAAAACGCCAGCGTTTCGGGCCTCGGGTCGCTCTGGTAAGCAAAAAATGGGTACGGGTTGACCGCAAACGGTGATCCATTGTCCCTCTGGAAGGCGAGAAGTCCTATGAGAACGTCCTGGAATCCCGGGTTGAACCGACCGGAAGATGGCGGGTCGGACTGGGACAAAACGGCCATGGAGTGCACCGTGGAGACCCGGACCTTTCCACCGAGAGACGCGGCGGAGAGGGCAGATTGGACATTTCGCATGGCGGGAAGTAGCTGGGAGATGAGGCCCTGGTCGTTGGATAGGAGGACCTCGTTGCCGACATTGATGAGGTCGATTTTACTGGCGGGGTAGAAGGGGAGGACGTTGGAATTCACCCACTGCGCCGCCGCGTTGGGATCGGAGGCAAGGGCCGGGAGGTCGCCGTTCGCGGTGCCAATGGCGATAGCGATGCCGGAGCCGGCGAGCGCCTTGATGATGGCCGGGTCGGGGCCAAAGAGACGGACGCGCTTGATGGCGGTGGACTGGAGGAGTTTAGCGGTGTCGGAGGGCGGCGGGAGGTTGTCAGCGACCTGGCCGTAGTTGACTCCGATGAAGGACTGTGAGTCTGCAATCAAAGCAAATCGTTTCAGTGGGGTTTTTCCCTACTTACGAGATGAGGTAAGTAAGGGAAAGTTACTTGGTATTCGAGCAGTGCTAATAACAAATTAATTACGTACCTGCAGAAAGGAAAGCGGTTTTTCTCATCAATTCATTACGCAAAACTTTAACAAATTTTTATATTTTTCTCGGGAAAGTGACTTTTTCCTTTATTTTCCGGGAAAGTAGAAGTAATTACGTACCTGCAGAAAGGAAAGCGGTGAATAAGAGGAAGACAAGGAGGATGGGGAAGTGCGAAAGCGACGACGCCATGGACGATGACGATGAAGTGTGTCGACAGTCAGAAACTGTGTGCTGTTTTTGTGCAGAGTGCGGAAGACGACGGACTTCAGACCCCAAAAAAACAAGTTGAGGGTAACGGTAAGAAAGTAAGCAAGGTAACACTGAACTCAAGTGCTCACGTGCGATGGGACCCCACCTGTCTCTCAGTCTTCTCGTTGACGTATGCCAAATATTTGTTAAAGCGTGTTAATTTTTCCTAACAAATGCTTTTACGCACGAGTAGTGTTAAGGAAACACTTTTAAAGTTAAATTTTCTGACATTTTATAATTAACGTTAATTTTTATTTTAATATTATAAAATATTGTGTCAAAAAAATAACGTAGCGAATAATCTATGAATAGTCCTATTTTTTAAAAAACTTTCTTAGCATTTCTCTTTCCGCAATTCATAACTTTCTACCATTCCCTATTGGTCTTTTCTATTTAATTTTAAACTTGTCTTTCTCAGTTTATTTCTTCAATTTAATGGCTAAAAAAGGTGAATGACTATTAACTCCAAGAAGAAATCGAGCTATGATAGCTGATATATAAATAAAGATAATGCTGGGAACATTAAAATTTTAAATTAAATTTGTAAGTTAAATTATATGTTAGTAATAAGAACACGTTAATTGATATTTAATTAATAATCCAACGATTGACAACCATAATATTTAATTTGCAAATTTAGTTTAAAATATTTGATCTCCCTAAATGTTTAACCGAATTCTTGTATTTAGATTCTATGTTAAAACCTTAAATTCTCATTGAAATAAAAACATGGGAGTTTGTTATTATCGTTCCCAAAGAATCATTGTGCACTCCTCCTTTGGGTTGAGTTTGTGGTTACTTAATCTTTTTTAAAAAGGTGGAGTCTTAATTATGTTGGGTAAATGATAAAGAAAAAAAAGTGATTTTTTTTTCAAAATTTATATATACTAAAACCCAAACTCGGGTGGCACTGTTCTTAAGCAGTGTGCTTCCCTTTTTGCCCCTGCTTGATTTGTTTAATTGCATTTGTGTCATGTTTCACACGTGTTGGTCACCGTGCTCCCTTCTTTTTGTTTTTACTCTTCCGGACTCTTCTGGTGTATTTTAACCCTGGTGTCCAATAGAAGTCTCTTGACTTCTTCCTCAGAAATCGCAGAAATCCAAAAAGGAAAAAACTGTGCTCTTCAACCGATTAGCGATTTCGATTCCGCTTCATGAGATCTGTTCGATCTTTGCTTCCTCATATGTTCATTCTCTTCGACGCGCCATCGTGCTCCCAATTTAGCCTTTGACAGGTAATTAAATCTCACTTCTTCTCAACTACCCAAAAGCCAAATATTTGAGTTTTTTTTTTTTTTTTGTTTTTTTGTGCTTTGTTACTTCTTTGTTGAAATTTGGTGGTGAAATGTCTTCCATTTTGTTCCGTCTCTTTTCCTTTTCATTTGCTCTCTCTATCTCTTCGTCTGTCTCTCCGTTTCGATTTCGATTCCGTCGTCTAGAAAGGCATTTTGGATTTTTTTGGCTGTTTTCCAGAAACCAATCACGCCATTTTAGGTGTGTTGCTTCATCCGCATCTTATTTTCTGTTTGGTTAGCAAGAAATTTTTTTTTTAATTGATTAGTGTAAAATTCAATTCTTGCCGTTTTGTGCTTAGCGTTTTCTTAATTTTTTTCGTACTTTGTGTGTGGATGTTTGATCTGATTTCGTTTTTTGTTGCAGGAAACATTGGTCTTCGAATTTTAAGGTTTTATTGTACAAGCTTGCAAGCCCTTTCTGGGTGAGGTATATAATTTATGTTTTTGTTCTTAAATCTTTTTCCAACAGAATTTTTAATTTTTTTTTGGTCCTGTTTCGTTTTTGGTGGGATGATTAATTATTGGGGTTTCCTTTGTCTGTTTGGGATTTTAGTATGGGTTGTGATTTGGTTGTTTTTTATTTCCAGGGAGAAGTGTTCATGGTTTATGAGTTTGGATTTTTAGTGTGGGTGTATGATTTGGTTGTTTTTTATTTCAGGTAACGTTGCCGTTCGAATTTTATGGTTTTTGTATAGAAGTTTGCAGGCCCCTTCCGATTAAGGTATATAATTTATGTTCCTCCTCTTATATCTTTTGTTGAACAAAATTTAAAATTTTTTTGGGTCGTGTTTAGTTTGCGGATCTATTTTCTGTAAAAAAAATTGGTGATAATTAATTTTGGTACAGAAAATTGGTGATAATTAATTTTGGGGTTGTGTTGTATATGGATTTTTAGTGCGGGTATATGATTTGCTTTTTTTATTTTCAGGAAGCAGTGGCCATCGTTTTTGCCGCTTTTGTATGTACGGTTCCAGATGCTTGAGGTATAGAATCTTCAAATTGCTCACCTTAAGTAGACAGTGGCGTGCATATGTAGTTTATCACTGAATAATCAACCTCTCATCACTAAATTAACGTTTAAGTTTGTTTTTAATTTAGTTCACAAATGAATCAACCAAGTTTTCATGCCATATTGATACGAAATTATAAAGCAATTTCGACCATACTTTGTTTGTTTTTTTTTTTATCATTCTTTTGAGATCTATTATTCATATATATCATAGATGATGAAGAATAAAAGAAATTAAATGCCGCTTTGGATGATAAGTTGATGTCAATGACAAGTACTATTGATGATACCCACCGTTTCTCGTTTGTTCTAATGCTGTTGGTATGTATATTATGTAACAAGTTCTCTACAGTTTGTTAATATCCATAACCAATACAAGTTTTCAAACGCTTATACGGGTTTGCACTTCAGTGAAAAAATTCTAGGAAAAACAAAAGGAGGTTGAGCCCATCTACATAGGGAGTTGAAAGAAAAATTAAACTCAACAATTAGAGAATGAGAATGCATCTGATGAAAAATAGGAAATGAACACATATAAGGTAATGTCACAAGGTGAGGTTTCAGTATGAAATTTTCATTGTCATACTGTTTAATGCTTTTAAACCAATTGGTATAGATTCTATTTTTAGTTTCTTTTGCTTGATCAATTTACATTACGTTTTTGAACCAAATGCAAGTTCCAATATTGCATTGATAACAAAATAAATTAATTGAAATTGAAGTTTTCTCTGATTGAGAAATCTCTTTTTGTTTAAATGGTGTTACAAGTTTTGTCTTTATTTTTTTGCCAATAGGTGGACTTAAAAAGGATCAAGTATGCAGGGGAATGGTAGGATCAACATATCAAAGGTAGAGATTGACTCTCTCTCATGTTAAACTTATACTGTGATGTTTATTATTATTAAATTTTGGAAAAATAATTGCTTATCATAACCTTATCACAATAGTAAATAACAGGGAGAGAGACGAAAAAAAGAGAGGAATCTATTTGATTGTATGTTTACTTTGGAGATTTTGGATAACAGTCATGAATTATGGTCTTAGTGCATCTCTATTTTTTTTCTTCACGTTTTTGCTTACTGTTTATAGCTAAATGATTTTTATTTGGGTCTTCCAAATTTTTAACTATTACTATGAATCTCTGATGAAGTTTTATTAATTTTTAATTCATTGATTTCAAGTATGGCCGTTGACTATGTGAATTTTAAGTTTTGCACAGTTAAAGAGACTAGATGATAATGTTTCATTTCTCTCTTTCTCCCTTCTTATTTTCTCAGCCACGAGTCTTAATAAGATACGACTGACTAAGAATTTGTTAATCATTTTAACACGTATGAGATAAGATATTTACTTTTTATGATGCATTTCTAATTTTTGCATATTACTTGATTTACTATTGTTATATGGTTGGCAGAATTTTATGTTAAGTGTGTCACTATATTGTTGTAATAGTTAAATTGGATGTAATATGAAGTGTTGGCATAAAACTAGGCACAACTAATTATCTTTCACTTCTTGAGATACAACCATTGTTTGATTTAGCTATAACTCATAAATCTTTAATTATAATTGGTTTTTTTAGTTTACTTGGATCAGAACTGATAACCGTATAAAAAGGCAGTAAAAATTAAAGTCTGCCTGTTCTGATGACAACTGATAAATATACAGGTCTGCACGTATACTGGTTGATGAAAAGGTGAGCAATCATTACTTAATGATCTTAAGTAATAAATACTTAGTATTGCTCATTGAAAATTTGTTAATTGTTTCAATGCATATGATCTAACGTTGCTGCTTTCTGTAATAAACTCTATCTAGGATCTTTATTTTTTGGGTCAAAACACTATTTGGGATCTTTTTGTCATCTTTAGACATTGCTTGATTTTGTATTGTCAAATGATATATATTTTCATAATCTTTGTGTCTGTATATTATATGGATTTATTTTTTATAATATTCAGTGTTCTATTCTTTGTATTAGATCTTTTTATACTTAAAAACAACTTTTCTATAGTGTTAATTAAAATGGTTAATTGATAGTTAGTGTTTGCCTATGCATATTATTGCGTAGTATTTACTATGCACATGCATATTCATGTTATACTATATGTAATGTTCACTGTTATTCACTTATTCACATGATATTTAACAATATTTTTTTCTTGCATTTTTTCCCATGCTGAATTGTCAAGCGACAATCAATATAAACATATGAATTTTGTTTCTTCATTGTTAATCTACTGATGCTAGGGATAATTTAAGTTTCTACATTCTTAACATTTTTCATATTTGACTTACAGGATTAGTGTCAATGTACACCTTTCCGCAACTGTTTGTTTTGTCTTTTTCCCTCACTCTGTATAATTTTAGTCAAATTGAACTACTTTTTAAAACTTGAGATTTAACTGAAGTGCTAAGAACTTAGTTAAATGAAAGTTTACTTTGGTTTGATGACATTAGGTCCACAATCATTGGATGCATTATCTTTTACATGTTTTAATCATAATTTGTCATAAAATTTTCAATCCCGCAGCAACACGCAGGTGACATTTCCTGCAGCAACGCGCGGGTCACACTTTCTAGTTATATCCAAAACAGCAGAAAGCAGGAGCATCTCTAGACATGCTTTTCAAAAAAGCTTTTTTTTTTCTTTTTTTTTTTAATTTTATTTTTTCTATTGGAGGCGGGTGAAAAAATACCATTAATGCAACTTTCATATCGACAATCCTACCCCCATCTCTAACACTTTTTTTTAGCTAAAAACACTTTTATTACTATAGTATATCAAACAATTAACAGTTATTTATTATCATAGCATACCAGAAGCAATTTTGAAAAAAAGCACAACTCCAAACTAGCTATTAGTATTATATTCTGTTGGATTGACGGGGCTGGAACTCGCAGCTTCTGCCTTGATTAAATTTTTTTATCGAATAAGGTCAAATTGTGTCAGCTAAAACCTTCACTCGATGAAACGATTTCAGCAAACCCTTGAACTGGATAAAGGTGTACTTGGGTGAAGTCGTTTCTAATGAGAGATAGGGACATTGGGGGAAGAGAAGAAATTTGAGATTCCACTATAAAACCAATTGGCAATATGGGCATTAATCCAACTTACTTATAAGCTCATGCAAGATTATTCCTCCTATCAATGTGAGATTCATTTTCAACCGTAAATACATGAGGTTTTTACTTTACTTTGAGTTTTTATCACAAATGACTCTAAAATTGACCTAACTCATCACTGTAATCCATTAATTTGAAAATCAATCAATTTCGTCCTTAAAATTGACCTAAAATATTAACTTGATCCATGCCATCTAGTTTCGTTAGATTTTCTGTTAGTTTGTTGATGTGGCAAGATATGGTGACTATCTCTAGATTTCAATTTGGCAATTTTTTTGTTTAAGGAGTGGGTAAACTGGGGTTGTGCTCATTGACAATACTTGTAGTTAGGTAATTGGGAATAATGTCGTGGAGTTGATCACTCATATGGTAGTGATTCTATAAAATTAACTATCGGAGTTTTTTTATAACAATTTCATTTTAAGTGATCGTTGTAAAAAAGTTTCTAAAAAAGTAAATATTGGAAAGTAGTTGGATTAGACTACTAGAGTGTTCGCATGCGGTTGCATTTAGACTTTCAGATTTGGTTGGGTATTGGTCGGTCTTGCCTTTGGAGAATCTCAGCGTCATCAACCCACCTACTCTGACGGTGAAAACATGGAATTCCAAGTGCAAAGGGACTTTTTGGTCGCTGGGAAAGTTATTCTTTCACACTTGCCGCGAATATGCAAAGGAACTTTTTGAACAATAAACTTCTCCGAGGGTTCTTGTGTTTAAATTCGGGACAACAGCAAAAATATTATCATTTATGTAACCCTATTTGAATTACATGACTTGTGCTCATAAACTTTTTTGTTGGAATTGCGATAATTTAGGTGTGAGGGAAGTTTCGAACCCGGGATACATAAGTAGAAACTCAATGCTCTGTTCATTAGGATATTAGATATAAAATTGAAGTATTTCATAAGAATGTAACTGAAAGACCCCATATTGCTTGAACTATAAAGGAACGTGTTTTAGATTGTTTTTAAAATGGTTAAATGCTTTTTTTGCAACCAAAAATGATGATTGCATTTGATAGAAATTTGTAGAAGAACTGTACTTTATACAAGTGGTTTTAGGAGAATAATCTGCCAAATGCTTCTTAAAAAAACACTAAAGCACTTGTCGATTTTTAATAAAGAATTCAAAGTGTGCATGTTTAAATCATTTCCAACTCATTGATGTCTAGTGGTGGCGATGGTAGAATGATGGTTGTTCTTCTAACTGCTTTTTGGAGTACACTATATAAAAAAAATACTTAAGGACATATGAAAATATGTTTAAAATACTACCAACCAAACCTAGATGAGTATAACCAGTGACGAACTCAAGAATTGACAGGGGGATGGGTGAAGTTAAAAGATTGCAAGGTTGAAAAGAATAGCAACAACCAAATCCTTTTACTTACTAATGTGTTCCATAATTTATCAATGCAAACAAATTATAATTGTTGCCGGCGAGGTTTCATATCATGAAAACGTCACATAATAGGCTCATTATCAATGAAAGCAAATACATTTCTTTCCATGTAAACAAGCATGCTATCACTCAACCATTGATCTCCCATTTTGTTAAGCAATGATGTTTTCACAATCTTCATAGCAGAAAAAGCTCTCTTCACCGAAGTGGTTGTAACCAGTAACACCAAAGCCAATGAAAGAAGCTTATACACTAACATATAGCTTGCACACATTCTAGTCTTCACCAACTCCTTTGCAAGATCACCAATTCCTCTCAATATTTGAAGGGGGAGGAGGACTACTCAGAATATTCAAATGATAACTTCTTGGAATATTTGAAGGAGGAGGACTATTTGGAATATTTGAAGAAGAAGGACTACTCGAAATGTTTGAATGAGGATTTAAGCATTGTTTCTTATAGTATCGTTCCATTATGTAACTGTAAAATGGAAAGAAAAAAAAAATTCTTAGACTTTTAATCCTAGAGTAGACTATACTAATATGCATAATAACTAGTCAAACCAAGAATTCAATTATTCAATACCAATAAGCATACAAATTATTCAATAAATAAATATTCAAGTCAACTAATCATATGAATATACATTATGTAATAATTCAATTAATTAATCAATAATCAAGAATTCAAATTTTAATTTTCATCCTAAAAATAATTTGATAATTTCATATCAATAATCATATAATCATATCAATAATCATATTAGTGCATCACCATATGATTCTATACCAATTAAACAAAATTCGTATTAAATAATTAATTAAAGTTAGGATTATAAATTTAGGGATTAAAAAATTTACCTACTGGAATTGGGGGGCAGCGTTGCTACACCTTTTGCTTTGATTGGAGATTGAAAAAGAGCACAAAGAGAGACTGAATGGAAGTTATGAAACGGGGGACACGCGGTCCCACCCTATATATTTATATTTTTTAGGGTGTGATATCCACACATATTTTTTTGCTTCTCACACACATTTCTAATTTTCGGCCGTCAAATCAGATGAATTGAAGAAGATCAACAGATATAAATTGACAAATGGTATGTGAGAAGTAAAAAGGGGTGTGTGGATAGCACACCCCTATTTTTTTTCCCAACTTATACGAAACGGCACCGTTTCATTCTACTTTTTTAAAATTTTTTAACCAGGACCAAAACGTCACTTTGGCCTGGGTGTTTTGAAAAAAAATTGATGCAGCTCTGCTGCGCACAGAGCAAAACCAGATAGCACCGTTGCATCGAAGGAGACGAAGAGCAGCAACAGTAGGAGGGGAGGGGCTGGCTAGCGCTCCAGCCATATTTTTCCTGCGAGGGGAGTGGCGACCGCCACTCCTCGCCCTCACATGGCTTCGCCACTGATTATATGAGGTTGCAATCAACCCCAAACTTGAGCGGGTAAAATGTAATTTACTCTTATTTGTTAGTTTATCAAGAACAATATCGTACTTCAACTTTGGGTATAAAAGTACCCTATTCAGTTCTGTATTTTAATTCGGAGTCAATTATTTTTTGGGTAAATTACACTAAGTTACCTTAACTTTGGATATAAAATTACCCGTTCCCATTTAATTTTGTATTCTAATTCCAAGTCAATTATTTTTTGGGTAAATTACACTAAGCTACCTCAACTTTGGGTTGTACCATAATCTTGCACCTCATCTTTTAAACATTGCAATGTCATACCTTATTTTACGAATTCGTAACAATGTCGGACCTCAGTCAATTTTTTGTCAATTTAATTTGTTAACTGTTGATGTGGCAAGTGTGAGGATTACGGATTGACATGTGGACTGACATTCAAACAATTCTTTTTCCTTTTCTTCCCTTCCTTTTCCCTTGTGTTTTCTTTTTCCCTGTTTTTACTGTTCCCCTCTCGACCTTTGCAAAATTCAACGCCCATCCCTCCGATCAGCGCCCATCCTTAACCAGATGCCCCACCTCTCCGATCCGAGGGTCCTCGCCGCCATTCAACACGCTATCTCTGATGTCTTCTAGACCCGTTCTGTCCTCAAAACCCTCAGCGACTAACCCGACCACGAGCTTATCGACCCCACCCTCTCGGCGACTGACTCAATCTCGAGCTTGTCGACACTAAACAACCTTAATCCCTACCATCGCAAAAACACAAAATCCCATTCAAATCTCATCCTCAAAAAACCCTAACTCTCGTAAGTTTTAACGAAATTACAAGGACCTCAATTCCATCAAGGACCACCACGCCTCCCACCAGCCTCCATGGATATGCAGGTTGCTAGATAGAGAAATGGGTACGGCTAACAAGGAGGAAGGGAGAGAGAGGGGTGAGGGGGAAGGAATGTGGGTGGCTGTGCAGTAGGAACTCAGGATGTGGGTTTGTTTGTTTGTTTTTTTTTAATTTTTTAAAATAAAGTATTAAATGAAGTCAATTATCTTTAATAATTTTGACAAAAAAAAAAATCTTTATAATTAAAATATTTTTTTATGAATTGTTTGGCCGCATGGCATTAGATAGGTGACACGTCAACATAAATGTGAAGCTCATTGCTGTCATGTCATTACTTAATGGCTTACTTAACATATTTTGTGTTGACCCTAAAAATTACAAAGTCTACGTGGCGTGCAGGCCGAGTAACTAATAAGCTAACTACGTCATTCGGTTGAATGCGGGGCGTGCCAACTCGGCCGAGGAGTAAAATTTGTTGTTGTTGCGTTGAGTACGTTGTTGACTTCTTTATCTTGCGACTGCGGCCGAGAAAAGAACAAATCTCGGCCTTTGGATTCTCGAGCCTGAAGACGAGGCTGCTAGTTCTGCGAAGTTCACAAATCGTCGGCGTCAGATTCGGTCACAGTGATTATATTCGTGAGAGTATAAGCACGTCGAATCGACACCAGACTGTACGGACACAAATATTCAAAGGTGATGTATGTCTTGATGGTGAATGTGGTTCGGCCGTCAGAATGTCGAATTTTGAAACTCACTTGTGAGTATCCAATCATAAAATCACTCGGCGTTCAATACGCCGAATGTCGTAACTTGTAACACCTTACTTCACCGAGAAGGCTAATAAGATGACCTCTGCCAATAAGGATTCGGAAACCCTTCTCGACCGGGACTTGGATAGGTAACCAGTCGGCCTCGATGCAGTGCTGTTTATCCAAACTGAAGGTGCTCCTCGGTCGGCTGACTCTACGACAAATCCAAACTGAAGATGTTCGCTGGTTGCCTTCACAGTGCTGTTTATCCAAACTGAAGATGTGTCGGCAAGAAAAAGAAAATAAAAAATCTCAAGATGTTTGAGAGGTTTTGCGCAGGGCAATTGTGTGTTGAATTGGAGGTCCTCAAACTGAAGATGCAGCTCTGTATTTATGGTGTTGATATTTGCTTGACATGGCTAGATAATTGTGGAGTCCAACTGCAACTCTAACTTGCAGAATGAAATATGATCCGTGTGGCTGACTTTTCAAATGAAAACTCATCTAGGTTTATCCCGTTATGAACAAAGACCTAGCCTACCTAGGCTTCCTATCATAACTCCATCACCATCAAATCCTAGGCTTATCACATCACCAAAAACCTAGCTTTCCTAGGCTCTCATCATCTTTTACCAAGACTACCGCATGCATCCTGACCCTATGAATATTAAATTCATTTTTAATTATCACCATATTTAAATGGATAATAATTTGTTCAGAATTCAATCCCATTAGTAGTTCCAAGTGACCTCATACTATCATCCGGTTCTGCATGCTTCATTATCTGATGGCGTGCATACCTGTTAACCAAAAACTGATCCAACCACACACCCATATGCCAAACATCCACATCAACTTGAATTATCTTGAATTGTGCCGCCTGTTTCCTAGCTTGGAGATGTATTATTTTCACATGAAAATGTCAAGATAAATCATTATTAAAAGATAATTATGATAAAAATCATAATGTTATCTTTTAATATTAATAAAATTATCTTTACGAATTCATCGACAATGTGGAAGTACGCTTACTCAACGACCTCGATTACTCGGGCCCATGGTGCAATGTTGGGTTCAAACATTTTGTAATACAGGTTTGACATTACAAGGATTTCGTAAGTTGATATATAGCATTTTACTATTTAAAAAATGAGGTATGAAATTGTAATATGACCGAAAACTAAAATAATTTAGTGTAATTTAATTTATTCTTTTATGTGACGACACAGATTAGATAATGCTAGCCAAATTAAATAATGTTGTTGTTTGGTGATTGAATTGTTACTAAAATTTGAAAAAAAAAATATATTACTTAAATATTAATTAATATAGTTATTTTTATTTAATGACATATCAATAATCAATTTGTAAATTTGATTGTTCTGCGAAAAATATCGTACATTTCCGTTTAAGAATTTCTCGATGTCGAAATGGGCTCAGCATTAAAAGACAAAAAATTGGTCAGATGCTTGGCGGAGATACCAACCGCTGTGGCCAAGCATAGAATTTTACGTAAAAGAGAGGGGTAAGACCGTACTTCTATGCACAAGATATTTTTCGCGTCACTAAAATATCTAATCCACTGTCACGTGATGAGCGGACCCTACAACTAACCCGTTCCCTCGGTCGTTTTCAACCAGGGTTTCCGCAAACCGAAAGACACGACTCTGTCCTCTCCCCGTTTGGCAACGGCGATAACACTCCCCACCAAACAAGAGATAAAAATATCCTCAGCGTAAAACAAACCAAAAACGACGACGTGGATATAATTTATTCATATGGTGAAATTGTAAAACGCGTAGCCAAACGCGCTAGGCTTGGACCTTTGAACCCTGGTAACCAAACACCATGGAAATGGTTAACCCTGGTCGAGGGTGCCCGAGGCCCTATATTAACGAGGGTTCGGGAACTGCTGACCCTCGTGCTCTCTTGTTCTCTTGTTCTTTCGACCTAAAATTCGAGTCCTTTTTGTCACTAGGGTTACTGGTAGCCATGGCCTCTGCCGAGATCGAGTTCCGTTGCTTCGTCGGAGGGCTCGCATGGGCCACCGACAGTGAGGCTCTGGAGAGGGCCTTTTCCCAGTATGGTGAGATCATCGAATCGAAGGTCCGTTTGACGGAGAGATCGGATCTGACCCGATTCGGCCTCGGCCATCAGTCGTTCTGTTCTTCTCTCTGATCTGATTCTGTTTCTCTCTGTGTTACTTGATCTATGATTCTCTGTTACTATCTATGATTCTTATTGTTACTCTCACAAAATCGGGTACGTTCATCTCAATCTTTCTCTCCCAAAGATTGACGATCGATCGGTTCCTTTTATTCTTTGAATTTTTTTGTGAATCTTTGATGTGATTTGGGTGTTTTATGTGTGGATCTGATGGGATCTGTGTTTTCTGTGGTTTTAGATCATCAACGACCGTGAGACGGGGAGGTCCAGGGGCTTCGGCTTCGTCACCTTCGGCAGCGAGCAGGCGATGAGGGACGCGATCGAAGGCATGAACGGCCAGAACCTTGACGGCCGCAACATCACCGTCAACGAGGCTCAGTCTCGCGGATCCGGTGGTGGCGGTGGCGGAGGTGGCTACAGCCGCGGAGGCGGCTACGGAGGTGGCTACGGAGGTGGCGGTCGCCGTGAAGGCGGAGGTGGTGGGTACAGCCGTGGAGGCGGTGGCGGTGGATACGGAGGTGGTGGTGGTCGTCGTGAGGGTGGTTATGGAGGCGGTGAGGGTGGCGGTGCTCGCTACTCCAGAGGAGGCGGTGGCGCTGAAGGCGGCAGCTGGAGGAGTTAGATTAGTGGTATAGGTGGTTTGGGTCATGTTAGTGTTGCCGTTTTCTGGTCATGTTTTAGGGTCAGGTTCTGATCTGGTTCTGGTTTCCGGGTTGTCCGATGGTGTTGGTGTGTTTTGTGCTCGATAATTTTGATCGATGATGCTGTTCCTATCTTACTTTTTATGTATTTTGGTTACCAAAGAACAAAAAATGGTGTGTTGAGAAAAAGTTCTTCGTTCGCATATATCTATCTCTGTGATTTGAGTTGAAATTTAAATATTTAATCGGTCATTAATCTAAAAAATGTAAACAAATACGTTTATTGTAATTAATAAATCTTAAGAAAATCATAATACAAATATTCAGAGTAGTAGTTACAGTTTGTCTCCCACTATATTTTCACTCACAAAAGTATAAGCCGAGAAATGATATTTTGTCAGGATTCAAGATATTTTGTCCCTGGGCTCGCGGTGCATGCGTGCATAATTCAGCCTAGAAATGTGCGCAATAATTAACGTTAAATTGTTAAATTATAAAATAATTGAGAAATATTCTTGTAGTGTTATAACGTTGGCATATAATTTAGTACTTATTTGGAGCTGTACCACTGCTCGACCAGGCCAGATAAAAAATGTACATAAACAGTTCTAGCTGAAATACTTAAAATAATTTTGCTACATCCTTAACAATAATTCTGCCACTTGGACTAGGAGTAGCCTTTTTAGCTCTAGCTTAACGTAAAGTACTGACTTTTGTTCAACGTTAAAAGGGTGGTCCCGATATAGCGGGATCGTTCGAAACTTCTCCTTAGCTGTACCGCTGGTGGTATATACTTGTATGTGATTGGATCAACAATGTTTTATATGTTGACATGTAAATTAACGTCAAATTGTGAAATTGTAGAATCTCACCTTTTGAGTCTCTTAGTTTTTCTCTTTGGATAATGCTAGAGAGATTAAAATTTTAAACCAAACGATATAGTTGATGATTGAATTATTACCTAAGTATTGATTAACGTGCTCCTATTAGTGACACGATAAATTTTTCCTTATGCCTGTAACGCAAGTGGTACACATGTTATTATATAAATAGTGGGAAATTTTATGTTTTATGTTATTATTTTTTTGGCAAAGTTGTCGTTCGGTGTTACTGTCATTTACTTGTGCAAGGGTTCGACTCCACAGATGCTCATGTTTATTAATTTTGATTTTTTTTCCAGCTATTCTAGGTTTTCTTTCCTATTGGGTATTGTCGAGTAACCATTTTGGGCTTTTTTTTAAGCTAGACTATTTGTTTCTTTTTTTGAATATTTGTAGTTTAATTTCTTTCATTGTTTGTTAAAAAAAAAATAAAAAATAAAAAAAACATTTCTTTCATTATATAACACTAGCATATGGGTAGAGTGATAGAAAACGTGGGAGTGAGAATTTTTTTTTAAAATTTTAATTAGAGATGTTAGGATTATATGTAGGCGAAGCTTTGAAAAAAAAAAACAGCAAAATTTAGTTGTGTGAAATTACATTTCTGCTCCATATTTCTTATTCGTGTTTTGTTTTAATTATATGGTTAAACTGATAATTTCATAGGATTTTGGTTGAGAAAGAAGGTTTCATTAATTAATAGAGACTAGCATATGGGCACACACAAAATGTGTTGTTTTTGAAATAAAAGGAAAAAGGAAGAGAGTGATAGAGAATGTGGGAGTGGGAAGGTTTTTTTTATTTTTATTTATTTTTATTTTTATTTTTTAAATTAGAGATATGTTAGGATTACATGTAGGTGAGGTTTTGAAAAAAAAAATAGTAAAATTTGGTTGTGTGAAATTACATTTATGCCTCATATTTCTTATTCATGTTCTGTTTTAATTAGAGGGTTAAACTCGTAATTTCATAGGATTTTAGTTAACAATGAGTGTTTATTAATTAGTAGAGATAACTTTTGTGAATAAATCTGCAATTAGTAATATCATAATAAATTAAAATTCTTAAAAGTTTAAAAATATAATCTTTAAAAGCCCCTTCCTTATATGACACCATTTAATAGAATACATGTAATAATAAGAATCGTTTATTCTTTTGATCACCGTTTAAAAGTTATCAAATTATAAGTTTCATCCATTTGAAGACTTTAGTCATCTATATGTCAAAAGAAAATTATGATACAACTTTACTCATACCTACCGTTAGAGACACGAATCTCGAATTTTGAATTTTCAACTAATCTAATGGCAAGAGGGGGGGGGGGGTGGGAATAATTGTGACAACCCGTTCCAAATTTTACATTTTTATTTTATTTTAAAAGCGTGAATTTACGAAATTGCCCTAGAGGTAAGGACTTTGACTTCTGTTGACCATCGTCTAGAGAGACGTATGACTTATTCTTTTAACATATTCTCGTAATACTCGTGGATGTGAACGCATAGGCGAAAGCCGTTTGTGAGTCCGGATTATAGCGGTATAGTTACGGACGTTCGAAATTGGTTATTCAAGGTTTAATGTTAATTAAATTAAATCCCCAATCATAAATTGGTTATTTAAGGTGAAGCCCAATCAGAAAAAGGAAAGAAAGAAAAAGAAAAAAAAAATCCCAGCTTTTCCCGTGGGTTTTTCCACTCGCGACCACCCATTTTCCAAGGCCGATTCCGGCCAACTCCGGTGGAGTTTTTCGATGCCACCGCCACCATCTTGAAGCTCTCATTCCCCTCTACAAAACCCACGCAAGAACCACCTTGATTAACTATGGGATGTGGAGGTTTGAGGCCACGAAAGTTGATGAAAATCAATGGTGCTCCGGCCACCCTTTTTGATTTTCCGGAAAATCGGCAAAGCAATGGCCGATGCCACCACTTGGGCTTTGTAGCCCATCATCCCAGGGGAAAAACCCAACCAACCTTGACCCCGTTGGACCACCGTAGACGACGAATCGACGTCGGGAAGTTTTAGGCACCCGCCGGCTTCGTGGGCAAAATTGACCATCTTCCGTCCACTTTTGGACTTCGTGGCAGGTATGAAAGTTTCTCCACTCACTGAGATCTTCATTTCTGTGAAGTTTGAGAATTTTTGGAAATAGTTGGATTTTCCGGCGAGTTGGGGCGGCCGACCGCCACCCGCGGCGGTGCGTGAGGCGGCGCGTGGCCAGTGGGCCGCCAATGATATTTTTAGGCTATGTCGAATGTCTTGAATTCAGTTTTGTTATTTGAATGACATAGGTTGATCGTTGGAACCTAAATTCGTTACGATACATTGCTTGATGAAAATGTGAATCGACGATCCGACCGTTGGATCGTCAGCAAACTTGGGTACATTATAATACGTAATATTTAAAGATCATAGGAATTTATGGATCGGGAATCCGATGTACGGATCTTCCCGAATTGGATTTGTAAGTTAGTAAAATAAATGTTCACGGCCACTTGTTTTAGGCAATTGGCGGAGATCTGACCGTTGGATCGTAATGAAATTTTAATATGTTATTCTAGAAACATATTGTGGATCGTTGGAAGTTGCGGATTGGAAATCTGATATGCGGATCTTCCGGGTCAGGTTATACAGGGTTGTAAACCCTACCGTCGATCTTTGATCGACGGTTGACTTGTGGTCAATGGGTCTCAAACTATTTTAGAATGTCGTTGAGGTTGTGTTTTATGTGAATTACATATTCTACGGATAAGAGTTCTGAGATGTGATTTGATAATTGGTCATAGGGACCAATCATTCAGGACGCCTTGATGCGTGCGCTAGAGAATCATAGCCTGGACTCCAGGTGAGTGCATCTTTTCCTTTTTATCGTACATATTATTGAGAGTTCTATCGACACCTTTAAATTGATTAGGCATATTACTTTCATATATAATTATTGTGAATGCTTGAAGTACTATGTGAACTACGAATGGCTTGATCCTTGTTTAGGGTACGTAGGCAGTCTAACGAGACGTTAGACGCAGCCATAAAATATTTGAGACAAAAGCCTTGCTTGGGAAATTGAGTAATGCGAAGGAAATTGGTTAAGGCAAGTTTTAGTTTTATGAATTAGTTAGTTAAATTAGTGTTAATTGGGTTGTCATGAATAATTATCCTTGAAAATAAGTAGTTTGGGAGTAGGGCGTTATTGATTGTACACTTCACACTATATTGTTTATAATTGAAAATGCTACGACATGGTTGAGTAGTAGATTGCATCATGATATATCCATATGTATATTACTTGCATATAATTATTGGGAATGCTTTCAAGTGCAAAGGTGAACTCAGGACACCCAGGTAAGTTCAGGTGAGTTTATGGTACTAGTTGAATCGATTGCGTTATAGCATGACTACAGTTATGAGTTAGGCAACTTCGATACGGTCGTACTGGTTGCCATGAGTTGCACATGTTATATTGAGATGCATTGAGAGCTCATAAACCTGCACCTCGGTGTTAGTGCTCCCGCCCGTGGCCAGGGCACAGTCCTTCACGTGATGTTCACCTCCCGCACCTTACGCTCACCTTGGATCCAAGGTAGGTGCACAGTCCTGTCGTACAGACCACTTTAGGTGGTTCCGACTCGTAGGTGACCCGCAATTATTCGTACAGCCTTCATGTGATCGTAGCACTAGAGCGTTTATATGTATTACACCCAGGCCTGTCGTACATACCACTTTAGGTGGTTCCGACTCGTGTGCAGGTATACTTATTGAGCTATTGGCTAGCCAGGATTGACGAGATATGGATAAGTCGTACAGGTCACTATAGGTGACTCCGACTTATATGCTAGCCATGATTGATGAGATACGGATAAGTTGTACATGTCATTTTAGATGACTCTGACTGATATATCACTTTGTATTGATTTAGTTCATTTGGCCTACTTATTAATGTATGGTGGATGTGATGGCAAACCGTGGTTTTGGTCATTTCCGAGTATGGTTTGGATATATGTATATATGTTGTATTGTCTTATGGAAAACGATACAGGTTTTACATTTAGGGGCATTACTTTTTGAGAGGTAGTAACTTTGGGAAGCTTGATTTTATTGCTTACTCACACCTTCTGTTTGGTGCCCTCTTGGTTTTAGCTGCTAAGTTTGTATCGACAAGAATCTATGGCGAATCTTAGTATTGATGGATATTTTTGAGGGTATGATTCTTACCCACATTACTGCACCTTACTTATGCTCTGACATCACGTGTGAAATGGGTTCGCTCCCACTCGTAGCGCACTCTGGTACTTAGACACTTTTAGATTCAAATTTATTCACTTTTTAT